ATATTTAAAAAATATTTTGTTCTGGAATTCCCCGCCACAGCAAACTTATATTTTTTGTAATGAAATATTACTTTATACTTATATTTACATTTAGTTCATTTTAAGAAGGCAAAAAAGGAAATGTAAAGACCCAGCTTGTATACCTAATGGAAATTCAAAAACGTAATTAAAAAAATAAACATTATAAACTCAATGTTTTTTTTTGTATTACACCAAGTGACTAAAAATAAGCAAAAGTTGATTGTTAAGACAATATGAAATTAAAATCGTGTTAGTTATATTCATATTCAAGAATGAATTACTTTTTTGGTCGTCACTTTTTTCATTAAATATCCAGTGGTTTCCTTCTTATCGGTAAGTAGCTACTGATTTGTAGATTGAAAAAGAAATCTACCTGAGCCAGACTAATTTTTAAGCTGTAAATTTATTTTGAAGCTACCAAGGCTAGAACATAAATAACGATTTTATGTGGGACACCCTGTACGTAAAATTTAATCTTTATTCTTAATAAAGAAAAATTAGTACATATTATTGTTTTTTATGAGTTATATTTTCGTACTACTTAAGCTTTACAAAATCTTATTACTTAGGTACTTTTAAAAAATTAACCATATTTATATATCAAAGATAATAAGAGACCATTATACTTTATTTTAGCACGCATTTTATAATAAACCAACTCTGCTTAATTTCATAATCAAGGGTAGCGGCACCTGTAAGAGAGTATACAAACTAATTCACACAAACAAGATCTGGTATCTAGATAGGAACGCAACAATTCTGGTTTAGATACGTAATAAAAATGGAGATCATGTGTAAAATGTTGTCATTTTACTTGAGGACACAAATAATAGAATTATTAATAAATATTAATCTGAAAATTAAATACAAATGATCCTAGGTGTCCGTTCTAGTGAGTGAAGTAGTTTGGTTATTGTGCCTGACCTAGTTCCGTCGTAAATGCAATATATTGACAGACTAACAGTATGATTAAAATTGAGGTACTTTGGCATTTATTTAAATTATTCTTCTGTTCCCATGAACATTGAAAATTATCTCACTCACTAGCGGGAACCATTCCGAATACATTGATATATAATAATATCCAATTATGTTAGTTTCTTCGATGATTTGTGTCCTCATTTGAAGCTCTGTTACACGGTAAAAATAAACATACTAAATCGCCCCCTTAAGGCATTTAGAAGTTATGACAATTTCAAAATGGCGTCCTTCATACTGGAGTTGCTATGATAATAACAAAAACAAAGTTCATAAAAGACTTATGAAGGGTATAACGGTATATCTAAAAAGTGTATTTTCAACTAAGGTTATATAAGCGAAATTTCGAAAAAACGACAATTTTCTGTAATACTATAGCAGTTGCGCCCCCTAGCGGTGAAGTTACAAACTTGAAAATATTTTAAATCGATTTCATTTGGCCGTATTTGTTAATAGAATTTTTACCCCATAATCGTAGCACGTCGAGTTTCCTATATACATCCGCTCGATACCGTTTATGGATCACCCTGTATATGTTACAGTGTGCCTGTAACTTTTGGAGTAAAATCTGGTGAAATAGTATATGACTACTTTGTTGTTTCAGGATTTCTTGGCTTCTTCTCATTATTGTCTTGTTAACATCTGTGTGTTATGTGTTTTACTACCACTGGACAAGAAGAAAACTATACCTCGCGGCAAGTAAAATAAGAAGCCCACCAAATATTTCAGTTTTACCATTTATAGGAAATGCACATATATTCTTAGGCAAGGCAGAAGGTATATATATTTTTTGAACATATTTTGTTGTACAACAGGTCACACACGAGTTTTACATACTTAATATAATAATACGAGCTCCGTTCAGAAAATAACCGAACTTTATTTTTTTTTAAACTTTATTATTAATTTTACATACTATTGGTCCTTGTCTTCTTCAAAATACTCCCCTCCACTATTCACACACTTTTCCACACACATACACCATTCCGCGAAGCAGTTTTGGATAGCTTCATTTGAAAATGGGTTAAAGTCTGTGACAAATTTGCTTTGATGTCATCAATAGTCTGAAAAGGGCATGCTTTCAGCACTCATTTTAATTTCGGAAATAAGAAAAAATCGCAAGAAGCCAGGTCTGGCGGGTAAGGAGGGTGAGCCAGGACAGTAATCTGATTTTTGGTACAAATCTGATGAATTGACAAAGCTGACTGTGGGAGCACATGATCATGGTGCAAGACCCATGAATTGTCTCGCCACAACTTTGGCCTTGCGTATTTTTCACGTAATCGTTGTAAAACGCTTTGATGGTACACACAGTTTACTGTTTCACCTTGGGGCAAGAATTCAGAATGCACAATCCATTAAGTCGAAAAAAACAGTGAGCATCACTTTGACATTGGATCAGACTGACGTGCTTTTTTGGGGCGTGGAGATCCTTTGCTAATCCATCGTGATGATTGAACTTTTGTCTCAATGTCGTAGTCGCAAACCCAGCTTTTGTCTCCTGTTATGATCCTTTGAATTAATGTTTTAACGTCATCGGATTGTTCAAAGAGTTGCCGGTCTGTTGTTAGGTCATCAAACGAGGAACAAATTTTGCTGCAACTCGATGCATTTTCAGGCAAAATTTCATGCCATAACTCGATTGAGATGCTAACCTATTCTGCAATTTCTCTAACAGTCAATCAGCGATTTAAACCAAATTCTTAACTTTCTAAACACGGGAGTTAGGGATCAGTTGAAATCGAAAACCTTCTTTGCCGACGATCATCTTCAATTAACTGATGACCACTATTAAATGATGAAAACCATTTGTAACATTGTTTACGATCCAGAGCTGTAAGCATGATTCAAAAGTTGAAAAGTTTCCGTGAATGTTTTCCCCAGATTCACGCAAGATTTTATGTTGCATCGTTGTTCAAAAATCGTCAACAGCATTTAAATAACAATATCACGAAAAGTAGATGAGATATCAACAATCCAAGGACATGTGATTACAGAGGAGGTTATGTGCAACGCAATGCTGCCAACATCATATAAAAAGTTATTTTGTGAACATACCTCATATATGTAATTAATTCATTATTTGAATTTTCTGTAAGGCCAAATGTTGATAAAAATGCACTTTAACAGAAAAATTACTAAAGTTTGTAAATAAGGTACCTATTGCCGACATCAATTATTGATACTGCTAAATAAGTACCTACATATTTTCAAAGAAATATATTTTCTATTAAAATTAAGACAAAAATGCAGTTTAAAATGTGCTTATTTTATTTATATTCCTTTAGGTGCGTCGAATTTAGTTTAATAAAACTGAAACCATATATTTTAAAAATTTTAGATATCTTCCTCAAGATAGATTCAATTTTTAAATTGGTTGACCAGGAACCGATAAAATTTTGGTTAGGACCTATTTTAGTTGTAGGATTGAAAAACCCACTTCATTTGGAGGTAATAAATAAAATGTATATTTTTAATAAAAATCAAAATTTATAAATTTTCCTTTTAGAAAATTTTATCTTCATCTAGATTTGCCTGTAAGCATGAGTTATATGTTTTCTTGGAAGAGTTTTTAGGAGACGGACTAGTTAGTGCATCGGGTAAGATAGGTATAATTGCTAAGTTATTTTAAAAACATATTTTTGAAACAAATTATTTTATTTAATTGCTAATTGGTAATTCGCTAAATAAAGGAGGTACATAATGGGAAATTAACTTGGTATATTTGAAAATTATTAAGTATTAGATGACATCGAATATCTAAATAGCTATTCAATTTTTTATTTTAAGAAACTATTCTTAATAACATCTTGTCATGTCTCTTACAGAAAGAGCACTTTACTAGCGGAAGATCTGAAATGAGTTAAAAATATAGGACTAAGACATTTTTCTATCAAACACTTAGTTTTTTATTCTGAGAAACTTTTCTTAAAAATATTTTTTCTACAAAACTGTTAAAAGTTTGACACACGCGTGTCAAAAAATGACATTTTTAACATCAAAAATGACAATTAAAAAGCCCACTTTTAACAGTTTTGTAGAAAAGATAGTGTATGATATACGTGTTAAAAGTGATTTTATTTTGTTCGTGAAGTTAAAAAACTCGCTACGCTCGTTTTTTAATCATCTTCACTCACAAAATAAAATCTTTTAACACGTACATCATAAATAACTATTATGGTCTCTCATACAGAAACAGCACTTTATTTTACGGAATTGAAGTTATGGTAGAATGAAGTTATGGTAGAAAAACAAGTAGAGCCGAATCCCAGAAGGCTACTTTTTTTAAATACAACTTTAAATACAACATTGTTTCTAACAATAATTGTTTCACTTAATGTACGACAAAAAAATGTTTTAGTAATGTTGCTATGCTATAGTAATAAATTCTGGTAGTAAATGCCATTTTTACATTTTCATCAAAATAATGAAAAAATTATACAATCAAAAATGTTACTACATAATTGTATACGATACCTAGTTATCTCGCAAACCTTGGGAGGTACAAACACATATGGTTAAAATTGGGTTGATGATGGTTCCTGCAAGATGAAATACATTTTTTTCCTAATTAACTATGTCTTCATGTCCCACCGTTTCCGCAGCAATGTTATCGTATTAGTTAAGAAATTTTTATATGTACTTTAATATTTTAATTTATATCTTAATTAATTACAATTTTATTTAATTTATATTTTAGGATTAAAATCTAAGTATAAATTACATAGAAGAATAATACAACCGCAATTAGACTTAAATGTTGTTAAAAGCTCCATGGAAATATTACAGAATCATACAGACGTTTGCATGAAAAAATTAAACCAATATGTCGATAAAGGAACGTTTGATATACATAATGTTACAGTAAAATGTTTTATGGATATAATATCGGGTAACAAGTATTTGTATATGTAATTTTTTTATTTAGTATTAACAAATTTCATTTCAGAAGTAATTTTGGGGCATAATATTAATTGCCAAGAACAAGGTTTGACAGATTTTTGCAGATCATCTATAAAGTAAGTTGAATATATAATGATTGTACATCTACTAATTTTTATTCTTTCAGTATGTACAATATTGCATTTAATAGGTTAGCAAAACCGTGGTGGCATCCAAATTTCATTTATAATATTTTACCAGCCAGAGTAGCAACTGATGAGATTGTTGAAAATTTAAATGGTTTTATTAAAGAGGTAACTTCAAATTAAATTAATCAAATTGGATTGATACTAGTAGTTAGTATAACAATATTACAAGAAAAGGACGGTAATTAGTTTGTTTCAGATTATAATAGAATCATGGAAAAGGAGAAAGATGTTCAAAAACTCGAAATATGGAAATTTCATTCCAGTTGTTGATAGATTAGCCAGTTATATTGAGAAAAATCCAGATGACATTAGCAGCGAAGATTTTATGAATCATTTAATGACACTCTTCACCGCTGTAAGTGGTATTTTTTTAATACTGTCAACAATTTTTAGAAACCTAGTGGCACAATATTAATATATAATATGTATAGGCAATTTCTACAAAATCAGTGCAGTGGTCTTTACTTTTACAATATTTATCTACTACCTATCTGACAAATTTAAACTTAGGGTTCAGTGTTTATTAACATTATTTGGTGTTGTGATTAAATTTACCTTCGATTTATATGTCATCATCATCAATTTCAATTCCACATCCTGGGAGGAAATAACGTTTAAGTATATGCTAAAAAGCTTATTATTAATGATATTGAAACTATTCGAAAAATAGACTATGATATTACTACCAACTGTTGAACAAAAAGCAGTCAATACTACACAATCAATGTGACCACATGCAAAACATAATGTACCAATTTAATAAATACATGGAGTACCTAATTCATAAAATTATTCAAACTACAGCAGATAGAGGTACATTGATTTTATAAGCAGTCAGATAAATCAATGGAAGATTGACGCTTTCTCACAAATTTTGACGTTTGAGGCCGTCATCAAAATTGTGAAATTAACAGTAAAAAATCTAATTAGGAAGTTAAAATAGGTGAACTTTCATAATATTACCCCTCTTTTAGATCATCTTATCAGGTTACTCCAGTATCTGTATGGCATTCCTTATTAAAAGCATAAGTAACACAAAGTAGAAATCATTTTTTCACATCAAACTGACATCCAAGCCAACAGAATCGCTCTCTAACCTTATTTAGTGTCTCATTTATTAAAAAACAACTGCTACCAGCATCAATAAAGTTACTGAAGATGCCCTAGAACCCTTTTCTGGGGGCAATGCAGTTTGATAGATCTTTTGTTATCATTAGACTCTCCCATATATTTTTTAAAAAGGCTATAATGCCCTCCTATAGAATCCCATAGTGTCCAGTAATTTTTGGACGTAAAGATTTATCAGAAATGTGGACCCATCGATATTAACCAAAACATGAATCTTCCTCTGTTCTTTAATAAGGATCGTACGGTCCCATTCATATGGGTCCTGCATGCTAATTGCATCAAATTCAAATGTTAAAATTTCTATATTGTTTCGTAATTGCTTCTCCAACCTGTTTTCCAATTTTCTTTTGCCATCACTTAATTTTTACAGTAAGTGTTTTTGGCGTTTCAAGTTTTGGGTTAAGTATTTATTTTTTCTTGTCGCACTGAGCTTCTTTATGTTTGACCTGATCCTTGATTAAGTTTACCTTCCGTGTTGATCTTTATTATTTTTTATCTATCAAGAATGTAATTAATAATTAAAAAAGTAGGTGATCTTCCATAACAATATCAAGAGGAATAAACATATGAACTGAAATTAAACTTCTACAATACGATTTACTTAGTTGCCATACATTTTTTCCATGATGCTGTTAGGGCAGAGTGAGACGCGGTGTAATTTTATAACTGATGTATTATATATAATCCTACAGGTAATGCAATGATAAATCAGTACCTAACAAATAAACATTAAACATAAAACATCGGGGTCAAGAGCGTACAGCAGTGCGAAATTCGCGACGTCACATATAACGCTTGACAGGTGACAGCAACGCAGGCTCGATCTGGATATGGAACGAAGCGGGCGGGTGCTGTAAAAGTCCGATTTTCACACTAACACTTCCCCTCGCGATCGTACACCGACTCTTTAACATCGTTGGATATCGGTTACTGGAGAGACACTCAAACCTAACATCTGCACACAATTTTTGTGACGAGGTCCTTGAAGTCCTTTGGTGAAAATGTCGGCCGTCATCTCTAAGGTTGAAACATGACTAATGCTAACAACGTTCTTCTTAAGGGCGTCTCTAATAAAATGGAACTTTATATCAATATGCTTGCTTCTAGCATGGAAAATAGGATTTTCTGCAAGCTTCAGAGCTCCCATATTGTCTCCAAATATGACAATGTTAGACAAATTATTGAGACTAAGTTCAATGAGGAAAGAGCGGAGATACTCTGCTTCCTTGACTGCCTCTGATAGCGCCATGTCTAACAGAGTACGGTTCTTTCTTTCGGCAATTCCGTTTTGTTCAGGATAATACGGAACCGTAAGCCGTCGTGTTATTCCATGGTCCTTTAGAAATTTATCAAATTCACCACTGGTATATTCACCGCCATTATCTGTTTGAAAACATTTAATTTTTCTTTCATGTAAATTTTCAACCATTGCCAAGAATTCTTTGGTAACTTCAAGTACTTCACTTTATGTTTTTAGGAAACGAACAACGCACCATTTCGAACAGTCATCTATGAATTCAACGAAGTATCGTGCCTTGTTCATTGATTCTACACGCATCGGACCGCAAACATCCGAGTGTACCAGTTCCAGCAAGTTGCTTACGCGATTAGATTGTTTTGGAAATGGAGTACGCACCTTCTTCCCCTGAACACAAACCTCGCACGTAATCGAGTTCTTTTCAAGCTTCGCAGGTTTCAGTTTTTCTAATCCAAGCACTGATCCTTTATTTATAGCATCAACCATGTCCCGCACATTTAGATGTCCTAAACGTCTATGCCACATTTCAAACGTTTCATCTGACAAGGTATCTGCCGCGAGAGCCAATCCGGAATTCGGTACGTCGGTAATGTTTTCACGCGCAAAATATAACTCGCCTATTCTATCTGCAACCAGTTTTACATCTCCATCGGTTCCAGTAACAAAGGCATTGTCTTTTGTAAACGTGACTTCGAAACAAGTCCGATTTTCACAGGAACAGATGCAAGTAGCCTGCAATTTTATTTCTTTCAAATATTGCAAATACTTGCATATACCACCTACTTAAACAAAAAAGTTGATTGTATAAAATGCAAATATAATGGAACAGAGAGCGTATAAAATTGTTTTCTCAAAAAATCATAATCAAATTCGTAGTATCGACTATGTTACCATAATATTTGCTAATNGTTTTCCATTTTTGTTTGAAAAGTGTTATATGTGTTGTAATTTTGTCTATAACAACGAAATTCATTAACTGATTCAATCTGCATAACTTGACACTGTTTTGTTTTAGGCATTTGATACACTGACCATAGTATCATCTTTTGCTCTTCTTTGTTTTGGAATGTACCCAGAATATCAGGTACGCATGTCTTTAAACTACTGTTTATTTCTTAATTTAAATGATTTTCATCTAATGTTATATTAGGTTTAATAGATATTTAGGTCGGTAAATGTATAATAATCTAAAAATTTTTATTTTTTTGCTCCTAATTGTTACGATACTGTTTTTTTGTTCACATTTTAATGTAAAATATTTTTTTTTGTTAAATTCAAAAGATAAGGATTATTTAAAAAATAAATCTTCATTGTAAATATAAACTTAAAATTTTCAGGAAAAAGCTGTAGAGGAAATTCGTTCGGTTATTGGAGAAAGTCCTAGACCTATTGCTTTGGATGAATTGAACAAACTAATTTATCTCGACATGTGTCTCAAAGACGTCATGAGATTGTTCCCAATAGCACCTTTTATAATAAGAAGACCCCTATCTGACTTTTCTCTTGGTAGGTACTGCTTAAAAATAAAAAAAATGTTACCTACTTACACATTTCAGGGAAATGGGTTATTCCAAAAGAAGCAGCTTTGTTAGTATCCATATATCATGTACATAGGGATGAAAGGTATTGGAAGTGCCCTTATCATTTTTATCCAGATCATTTTTTACCTGATGAGGTTCGGAAGAGGCATATTTTTGCATTTGTGCCTTTTAGTGCTGGTCCTAGAGGATGTATAGGTATGAAGTGGAATATGATTCTTAATACTATTATACAAATACTTTGCAAATGTTACTGAAACGTTTATAATGAAAAAAAAAAACAACAAATATTTATTTGTAAAGGCTTTATCTCAATTATAGTTAGTTTTTATAATGTTTTTGTATGAGTACATTGCTTTAAATCAGTTTTAGAAGTCAACAAAAAATATGTTTATTAATCAAATAATTACAATTGAGACTTGGCTTGGCTTGGATTGACTAGAATTTGAAAAGTAATCCCCAGTTTCAGAGTTTCTTTTAAAATTAGTCTTCAGACAGTCAAGAAGTCTAAATTAACGACAAGGCAATCAGCCTTGAAATAATGTTCGTTCATTATACATATACATATTATTACATTTCCCATATACTTGCACATAATAATTAAATTATTTACTTTTACACAACTATTTCTCTTAACACAAAGAATAAGACAATTATTGAAATGTATATTACCTTCGGATATAGCTGTGGTTCTTTAATTTTTCTTGTAATTTTGCTGTTCCTGTCATGTCTTGACAGAACAAGCGATTCTGATCAAGCTAATAGCGACGAGCATCAAAGCGTTAACAGCAAGCAAGTTATCATAACCTTACCTATTTATTCCGAATGTCGCCGTCGTTTTCTAATTGTCCTTAAGATAATCATTCATATTATTAACAATTATTATGATATGCTGATTTGATGAATCAGTGTGTACAAGTGACTTCTGCAAAACAAAAACTTGTCCATTGGACGATACCGCATTGGCGAAATCTAACAAAATTATCAGTGCGATTTCTGATGAAAATAATGTGGACGAAAATCCACTCAAAGGACGACCGAAAAATAGTGGTGACAAAGTAGGTAATATTATGATAATTCAATGTAAATATTTTTAATGCACAAAGGTTGTGTCAAATAACAGTAGAAATTTGTCCCTCAAAAAGAAGTAAGGAAGTAGGGTTACTGTAAAGTCTATATGAGTTATGTTATTTTTATTTGGGCAATGTCAAAATATATATATATCTTTCAGAAAATGTGTTCAATTTACATGATATGATCATTGTTTTAGGTAAAACCTTAGCCAACGTTGTATTAAAACTTTTCCTATGTAATGTATTACAAAGATATGAAATAGAGGCCGATGGAAAAGTTCCTGACTTAGAACTCCGTAGCGATATATCTCTAAGACCAAAATATGGCTATAATTGTAGATTAAAGAAACGAATGTGAAAATAAAATTATTTCTTGACGTACAGCTTTTTATATTTACATTTTAAATTGCTAGTAAAAATAATTACATTTTAAAATTAAATTTAGAAAAATATTTGAATATCAAATTATTATTTTGAAATCCTTGAAAATTGTAGTGATAAGACAATCATTTTACCATTATATATTTTTTATAAAGTAGAATTAAATAAATACGCAATGTAGCACCAAGCGTTCATTATGTATTTTAAACATTACGCCATTTTACGAATTTTACATACAAGACACCATATCAGATTTTAGCGATTTTGCCATGCATCAAAATGGCTTTTATTTCTTTAAACGAAAACCGTTCGTCGTATGAACAAATATCAAGAGACCAAATTAACTCCAAAGTAAATCAGTATTACAAACATAATATTGATTTTCAGAAAAAGCAGTGGCGTACTTTTTTTTCTTTAAAAAAGTTCAATATAAATCCTGTTCGAACGCCATTGGTAGAAATTTTTTGAAAACTTTTACATAAAAAAATCTAATTTAATGGTCAAAAGAAGTGTACCAAATTTTGTGGAAATATCTGGAGTGATAGGAAAGTTATAAAAAAGGCATTTTTTCTTTAAAACTTTAACACACTGTATCTCGTAAACGAAGCATTTTCGGACATAATTTTATTTGAAAAATTTTCTTATTTTCTTGCATTCTATACAGTGTTAAAAGGAAAGTATCAACTTAAAAATCACCCTGTATAGATGAACAAATTCTAGAATCAAAATACTATATTCTGAAAAGAAAGAATTTCAATATAAATCATATTCATAAACAATAAAGTACGTCCTGTAGAACTTCTTACTGAGAAATTCTTGAATCCATTACATCATGATAAGAATAAACAAAGTAATTAAAAAATAATTTATTTTAAATCACAATCACATAAAAATAAGAACATAAAAATTTTGGTCATCACTCTAAAAGAAAGAAAGTAATAAAGTGACACAGAAATTTTTTATTTAAACAGTACTTTTCGGCACATCAAATTATATATAAAAAAATATGATTATAGTTTAGCTTTAGGTACAGAGGTTTCTTTATACAGGTTGTTCCAGAAATCCATAGCGTTTCTTTCGGGGTCGATTTTCATTTCTAAATCATCCCCAATATTTAGATAGTTAAATCGTTGGGGTTCAAGCGGTTTCCAGATCGTAGATAGTACTTTGTCCTTATTGCTTGGTGTAGGATTACCATATTTTGCAAAATTTGTCCAAAGTTTGATCATTCGTTGTATTCCGACAAACTCAGAACTTTCGGGTTCAATATCTTCAGGGGCAAACCCGTTTTTGAAAAGGTAGGAAAATTCATCGGCGTGACAGGCACCTAAATTTATAAACATACATTGGAACATGCTACTACCGAAACTGTAAGTTTGAATATTTTGTCAAGTCAAACATGGTCAGTGTTCAAAACTTGGGTTTGAAAGTAATATAAACGTAGTGCAGCTCGGGTTGTTTCAGAAAAAAATGGATAATAAAATAGGCACCAGAAAGTTTTAAAAAGTTGTCATTATACATTGGAGATGTACGAAAAAGTAACGCGTTACTTAAAAATTAAGAAACCCATATGCAAAAGTTATGTTTAAAGGGTACCGCTGTCACAAAGGAATGTTTTGACAAATTCAAAACATTTTAAACATTGAATAACTATTTAGATTTTAGTGAATAATAATAACTTTATGTTACTATATTGGGCTATTTTCAAGGACAGCGGAGAACGATGAAAAAAAGATAACAAAACAACAGGCTGACATTGACACTTTTAAATATATTTCTACGAAACAATTGATACATAGTATTTGATTCCAATGAAATATACTTAAAAACTGAACTTAGGTGACAATTGTATTAGTTTTCCTTATTTTCGATTTATTTTAAATGTGACAAACTAATTGTCATTTTTTGTCAATAAAAATGCTACAAGTACCCAGTACCTAAGTTGAACATTCTAATGACCAATAATGTCAAATACACGAGGCACATTCACAAAGTAAGAGTACTGATATGCTCTATGGTTTTTGTTTTCGACAAAGTTGGCAACACTGCATTCAAGGGCGCGCTCATTTGACTCAGCCAGTTAAGAACTGTTGTTGTAGTGGCATGTTGAAATGAGTGCCTCGCTAGTTGCGAGGTGAGGAGCACAATCCGGTTTCTTCTTGCAAATGGAAAGGTGCTGTTCCAGATTTTTAACGAAACCAAAACCGTTCATGGGAATGGTGTGATGAATCGTACTAATGTAGATAATAGATGTCGTGAGTATAAAGCTGGCAGAAAGAGTGTCCATAATGAACAAAGGAGAGGGTGTCCCTCAGTTGTGACTGATGAGATGGTGAACAAGATCGAAGAAATGCTTCGTGGATATTGTCGATTGACTTTGGACGATATAAATTTCCAGATCTCTTCTGCATGAATGCGAACGAAGGGAGTGCGCTTATTGCACGACAATGCACGTCTCCTCACAGTCAACGTCACAAAGCAACTCTTGGATTCATTTGTTTGGAACATCATCAGTCACTCCGGCACAGCCCTGACCTGGCTAATAATTTCTTTTCTCTGAAGGTGTTTATGGGTGGAAAAAGATTTTTTACTGACGATGGGGTCCACAGTGCCATGAGACAATGGGCCCGATAATTTTTTTGACGAAGATGTCAGAAAGCTCATCCCTCAACTCACAAAGTGCATTGATCTTGAAGGCGACTACTTCGAAAAATAGTGTTTGATGTGTCGTTTCGATTTTTAAAAAATTGACTATTCTTACTTTGTGGACATGACTCGTAACTTCACCTGTGTTTTAAATTTCCAGCTTTGGAATTATATGACGACTGTAATTTCATATTCGGTCATATAATTTTTTATTCGTAGGTAATAATTTTTCTATCTTTGACCTATGTTTTAAAATAAGAATATTGTTTACTATTGAGTAGCATTCATGTTTTTGCTCATTCCTTTTATATCAAATTTTCTGATCGCAGCCTTTGGTGCCGCTTAAAAAAAACAAAAATGGAAAATTAAATAATCCGAAATGAAGTCAAAGATGATTGTGTTAGGATTCTATTTATTGTTGCAGCAACTATTTCATTTTTTTAAAGATTATTTTGATCAATATTTTTATTGTAGTAGATGCCATTTTGAATAATTGATTGTTAACTTTTTTATTGTTATGGGCACCATATTGTAATTTCTCATAGTTGAACAGAGCTCTTAATTCATAACTCAATTAATTGCTCGCACTTAAATTAGTTGGAAAAATTACAATTCTAGAGCAAAATACATTTTACTTATTAATTGAGAGTGCCGTGGAGACAATAACGTTCAAAATTAGATTTTAGAGGGGGTGTTTTTTAACCACGAACACCATTGCACCCAGGCGAGGAAACAAATTAAACCTATTAGCCTTTATATTTTTTGGGATGCTCTTTTAGATGGTCTACACAGCATTAAAAAAAATTATTCAGACCACATAAACGGACTTTCAAGTGGAATTTTTTGACAGTGACAGATGACAGTGTTCGGGAGATGAAAGTGACAAAAGTATTCAGAATCAAAAGAGGAAGGTTCAGGAATTTTGGTCGGTTTTTTTTCTTTAGACTATCAATTCGGTAAAAATTGGCCAAGACGAAAATTTGAAAAAATGTCTCAAAAAATTCTGAGAATTCCTACGTGTTCTTTGACCATTTATTATATCTCGAGATTTTTCACGAAAAAACGCCTTTTTCGAGTAAAACCGTCATAAAACTATGATGCCACCATTTTCCGATTCAGCAGCCATACTGTTTGTATCAAGTGAGTAAATCAATCATGGATCTTTTAAGTTAAGAGATATATTATGGACTGTTCCCATTGGTTTTCGGTATGTATCTTAGCGATAAAGTCTTCGAAACACGGTATAAAGATTGACAACGGGAAAAAATCATGATGTCTTTTAACTTGAATGTCCGTTTTCATGGTCTGAATGATTTTGTTTTCAAATTCTATGGCCACCCGCTGAAAGAGAACATTCAAAAACATAAAGTCTGGTAGGTTTGGTTTGATTCACGGGTGCAATGGTGCTCATGGTTCAAAGATACCCCCTTTCTAAAATTAGATTTTAAGCGTTAATGCATTATGTATTCGCTATATGGATCAATGGGAATTTAGTGGAATTTATTATGAATTTTCATATTACACTATTCAAATAAAACTACAAACCTAAGGTACTTTTAACTTTAACACAATTTTATTAATGTTACTATTAATATTACCTGGCTCTTCTATGTCATACAAAGATTTCATGAAGTTCAACGCGGTATCTAAGGAGAACCGATAAAAGTATGTAGGACTATTTCCTGTCTCTGAAAAATATCTTGCTGAATTGTATATATCCAATAAAAAGAAGTTATCCGTGTAAAGCTGAAACATGCAAAGTATTTATATTATTCAGCTTTTCAAAACGTGAAAATATGAAAATTTTAATTACACTGAAAGAAATGGGCTTATTAAATTGTTTCTCTAGAATAATGTGTATAGTGCATATTAAAACTTTTGTAACAAATATACAACTTTTGTTAAAAAAAATACACTCATCTTCATACACGTTATTCAACTGGAAAGCGCTTAATATACCTTATGCATCTAGTAGTAACGGTTATAATAATATATTTTATATATTATTATGTTTTATAGCCTTTATGGTCCTTTTGCGTAGTAGGGAAAATTTGTTGTATTAAAGGACTTATTCTTTTTCATAATGATTATGTTTTCATTTTTAACGTGAAATACTCGTCTTATAATGGTGGAGCGTCACCTGTCGGTGTATAATCTGTTATGATTGTTAAATTTACGTCAGTGCATCGACTATTACGCTTCTTCTAGCTGGATGAGGTTAAACAGTGTATAGACACATGCTTGTGAAATCATACCGCGTTGTGTGAAGTGGAAAGTTATGTCAATATATAACTGTTTTATGGTTTGTCATTGTTTTGTATTTTTCTATTTAAATATTGCCTAAATCTTAAAAATTATTATCTGTGCGCCCTATCAGAAACCGCTGTTGTTAAGTTTGATATAAGATCGAGGAACAGAACGCTAATGGTGACAAAGAAGAGCACGTGTAAAGCCAATCAACCAGAGGAAAAATAATTAGAAGGAAAGAAGGTCAACCTTTCAGGGGATGCTTCAATCTTAGGTTGGAAGAGTTATAATGCGAATGTAATGTAATACAAGAAGACACGGGTGCATCGCTACCAAGAAGATAAACTGGACAGTTTTGGGAGTGATTTTTCATCATTTTTAATACTTAAATGTTTGTTATACCTTTATATCAGAATCACAGCTTCTAATTATAGATCTATAATAAAATTTCTGTAAATGTAATATCATATGTTTTTAATTACAACAGCTTAATAAATTTATTATTATAAACCATATAATTAATACTAGAGGTTCTAATAACGTGTATGGAACACTTTAATAACAGTTACAGCTATAATTTAATAAAGAGTATAAACAGTCACTATACAAGCATGTTAACAATACGTGTGTTTTGTTCATTATCACCTGTTTATCTATCACATATGGTATACAATGTTTTTTTAATGGCATTTAGAATTCTAATAAAGAATAAAGCGCATTTCTTTCAGTGTATTTTGTTTATTTTAAAAGCTAATGCTTATTCAGACATACCCTATATATATCATCTTTATTTTCCGATGGATCTCTGTCATTGAAATAGAATTTTTTAATACTACTGACTACTGAATTGTACTGATCACTCCCTATCCTCAGATTCATCGAATAAGGTATAATTGTTTCGTCAATCAATAAGTGACTACCCTTAGTAGTAGTGCACATTCCGTACACAAATATCCCCTCTCTGGAACAGTATCCCATTATTAAAGGCACTTTATGGTACCTGCCTGATTTTATTAAGTTAATCGGTTCCTCGCTTAGAAAAGATTTTGGGGATTTTATTTCCACAATTGGCCCAAAAGGTCTAATTTTTCCTACATAAAACGGCTGGAAAAGAGATTATATGCATTTATAATGTTACTCGTATGTAAAAAGTATAAGATTAGCATGAAGGGTACCTCAGAGGGAATTACAGTTTGGAGATATTTGTTAAAATTGTACAAGCTGCAGCTTGGAGTATTTACTCAGCAAATATGCAATAAAAGACGATACCTACGCCGTGTCCACCTAGTGCGCGTCAGTCCAATATCTAGGTTCATAAAAGATATAACTTAATTTTTTTTCACAGAGTTGCCTACTTTCCCAAGCTGCACAAAATGAAAATTGCATATACAGGGTGTTCAGTTTTTCCTGGGCAGGTACCAACTTAATTTTTTTTAATGGAAACATATTTTTTATGGGATTATCGAATTCTACGTGAAAAATTAAAGGAACTTTGTGTTATGATCCCTATTAAAATATTGATAGTTTTCGAGATAATCGACTTTTCTTTTTTTTCTCATGTTTCGTCACTTCTAGTAGTTGACATAATTATGATCGTATGACGACTAGAAATTATTTTTTTTTCAGGAACTGTAGAGTGCAGATGGCTCTTTCAAAAAACGTATCAAAAGTTGACCCGCGATATACAGGGGGCAAAAAAAATCGTGCCAAGCCTGATGATTTAAAAATGTGTTTTATGATTTCATTAGATGCCTTTCTATAGACCCTACAATTTTTTAATAGCTCTCCCTATACCCAAGTTGCGTAGTTTTTGCAAAAAAAAACACTTTTATGTAAAATACCGGATTTGCGCCCGTTCCTTTGTCGGGAAAAATATTGTAAGGGTATTTATTTTAAGTTAGCTTGCAACTATAAGTATTCTTTTTTCAAAATTCTATTCATCCAAATTATTTAATCTCCAATTTCACTAATAACTTTCCTAACTACGGTAACAGTGCTTGATTTTCAATATGATATGGATGAAACTTCCTCAATATTTTATTTGTCAAGCTTTTGAAAACTCCAACTAATTTCCTGGCACTAATATTTTATTTTCAACAGCAGACGCCACAACTCTAAATATTATCGTTGTTACTTTCATGTCTGCTGGTAGTTTTCTCATAATTCGCATTTGCTGTTCATTCAAACATTTCCTTCACATTGGCAAAACAGTGGGAATATCTGTAAATTTGGATAATTTGCTTTGTAAATACGGGCAAACATATCCCATATTTCGCTAATTCTTAAACACTTGTAGCGATTTTATGGTTTTTTTATTTTATTTACAAATAAATGGTAACTTTCCATAAAGACATATTTATTAAACTCAAATATCTAAATTGTTCAGTTATTAATTTTTATTTTAAATAGTGTAGCTAGACAACTAATAAATTTAATAAAAATAAATGACCCTACAATATTTTTCCCGACAAAGGAACGGGCGTAAATCCGGTATTTTACATAAAAATGTTCTTTTTTTGCAAAAACTACGCAACTTGGGTATAGGGAGAGCTATTAAAAAATTGTAGGGTCTATAGAAAGGCATCTAATGAAATCATAAAACACATGGTGTTCTATTTGAAAACATCAAGATTTTTCAAATTTTAAATTATCAGCTCGGGAAAGTAGGCAACTCTGTAGAAAAAAAAATAAGTTAAATCTTTTATTAACCTAGATATTGGACTGACGCGCACTAGGTGGATACGGTGTATATTTTTCTATTCTATTTTTTATTCTATTTTTGAAAAATGTTTTTCATAATTTTGAGATTAATTTACAATTTGGTAGATGCAGTTATAAAAAGGTAGTTTTACTTCACATAATAAAGAACAACTACTACTACTAACATTTTCTATTTTGATTAACAATAATTATGATTTATGATAGCTCATAAAGTACAGTAATAAAGTGTACAAAAAATAACGTAGTAGACAAAGATTTGTTCATTTCTCTGTGTCTGATATATTTTCCTTGTAGTAAATTTTTGGTTATAGACTCATCAAACCATGTCACTGTAATTTAAGGAAGTGCTTTGTTCGCTCAAAAACATATGTTTGTTGTTAATCTCGCATAATGATTAATTGTCTTTGTTCGTATACTTTTCTTCTATCTCGAAAAATGTTAGGAAAATTAGAGGAAAATTACACTTATGGTAGAGATTCATTACATTGTGAATGTTTTAAGATAAACCATAATTTATAAACACTTTATATACAGAGCGTTCATAAATGATCATAAGCCACGTGACCAGTAATTTTGTTATGTACCTTGTAATGTAATGAAGACTCTGTATAACTTAGAAATTCGCTTTGAAATTAATGGAACTTAGCATAAATCTACACAAACTTTATCAGGATTCATCCTATAATATTTAAAAAAACCACTTACATCTACTAATTTGTTTGCAGCGTTAGATAAATCTTCTATAGATACTTTCTGCAATTGTTCAAGAATAACTCTGTCGTTAGTGCTTTCGATTCCTAATTTTTCAGCTAATAAGTGTATACTATGTTTTTTACCTCTTGCCCAACCATTAAGAGCACAACCACTTTGGGCTATAGCTTTGTGAAATAATCCTGAAAATTTAACCATCAATAAAGTGCATCATTAGGTATAGTTAATACCTTTCGCCATCGGAGACAACATCAGGAGATTAACTGACGCTCCCCCCGCACTTTCACCAAAAATTGTCACATTGTTTGGATCCCCTGAAAAGTCTCTGATATTGCTTTGGACCCACTGAAGTGCCATTACCATATCCTTTAAACCTGCGTTCCCTGGAACTCCTAAGGTGATGTCTTCAAGACTTAAAAATCCTAAAATTATGATTTTGATATAAAATTAGAAAATGAAGACGTTATTGAAATATATGCATTGATCAACATAATTAAGTAATCCTTATAATAACATACATACCAGTTATTAATTATTAACCAGAAATGAAAAAATACAAATATAACAGTCAGAAAAGGATCATCCAACATGTCTATTATGAGGGTTTCGAACTTTAGGAGTTCACATTCAATTTATTCACGAAGTTTGTATTACTAGTCAAATTGAGTTTTACGAAATTATGTATACACAATATGCAATTTAAAACAATAATAAATCATATACCTAGTACACCTAGTCTATAGTTGAAGGTAACCAAAACCACATCTTGAGTAACGAGGTATTCTGGACCATAAATGACTGAATGACTTGAGCCAGTGGTGAAACCTCCACCATGTATCCAAAACATCACAGGTCTCAGTCTCTTGGCTTGAATCTACAAAACGTGATTTAAGTATACGTTGACGTTGCATAAGCTATCAGAGTTGATTTTTCTAATAAACAGAAAACAAACAAATGAACAAGATTAACGATTTTTCCTAAAACAATTCCTAAGATCATAGAGCCCTATGATCTTTCAAACACTAAATACAAACTATTGGTTTTAATGAATAAGCTTAACAAGTATTGATGATAATATATATTCCAAGTTTGATATAGTCTAATTTATTGTTGGTAGCTGAATGTAAAATTTAGAATATAGAATTTAATAAAAAAACTGCACTACTACTTATGTACTTGGTATATACCGTTTCCAAATAAAACTTTTGTCCCTTGTTTTTCTTTTTCGTATACAAAGTGTTTTTTGAGTTCACACATAATTTTAGAAAGTTGTTTTTTATATTATTTTAGACCAAAAAGCCTTAATGTATAATAAGAGTCTAAAGATATTGGACACAGATTAATGACATTTGAGCTAACGAATGAAAGACATTTATCTAATTATTAGTTTCAAAACTTTTCTTATTACAATAAAAAATATTTACAAATTATTTTTCCAAATACAATTTTAAATACAATATAATCATAATGATCAAAATAAAAAAAACATTAGCGTTGAAACCTTAAATTTTCGGCAAATTTTCAAATAAAAGAATAAATAAATTTTTAAAAATGGTTTGTTCGAAGAAAATAGACGACATCTTTTTCTCAAAAATGCCATTAAGAATTAAATTCACTGCTTATATAAAAATATGGCGTGGTGTTGAAATTCTACGATTTTCAGTGACTTCTGTCTTTAGTCTAAGTTTCATAAATTCACTTCAAACACTTTTAGAAGTTATGACATGAACTTAGACAACACTCGGTGTACATATTTATTAGAGTTACCTCCTTTGTGAAAACATTTATAAATAGACAGTCCTCCGAACGCGAATAAGTATTATTTCTGGCATAACATTCGTTTCCATTTTCTGTCGCATCTAGTATTCCGTTCCATTTTTCAGGTGGTTCAGGTGCCTAAAACAATAACTTATTTTTATCTAACTTATTATTGTTATGAGCATAGTGTATCTATAATTTTTGGATATTATTGACTTTAGAAATTTGATGAAAATGGGAGGAGAACTGAAGTCGTTCCCATATGTATTCGTCAACACAATAAAAATATATGTTGCAATTTCTAAATGTAATTGCATTTGTAACCACATGTTCTTGGATTGTTGATATCTCATTTAGTTTTCGTGATATTGTTATTTGAGTGCAACGTATTTAAGTGTTAGTGATAATTTTGGCAATGTACGATTTTTTGAAACAACGCAAAATTTTGGAAGTTGAGGAAAACTATCACGGAAACATTTTTTTTTTTTTGAACAAGCTTATGGAGTTGATGTTCTGGGTTACATGCAATGTTACGAATGGTTTTCACGATCTAAAAGTTGTCGTCAGTCAATTGAAGATGATCCTCTACCAGGAAGGCCTTCACTTCAACTGATGACTCCCACGTTCAGAAAGTCAAGAATCTGGTGCATCCAAATCACCAATTGACTGTGAGAGTAATTGCATAGGTTAGCATATCAATTTGGTTATGCCATGAAGTTTTGACTGAAAAATTGAACATGCGTCGTTGCAACAAAATTTGTTCCTCGTTTGTTGACCGAACAACGGAAAGAAAATCGTGTGTACGTTTGTCGGCCTTGAAGAATCCAATGACCATGAAACATTCATTAAAAAAAATCATAACGGGAGACGAAAGCTGGGTTTACGGGTACGACATTGAGACAAAAGTTCAATCATCACAATCTACTGGCAAAGGATCTCCACGCCCCAATAATGTACGTCAGTCTCGATTCAATGTTAAAGTGATGTTCACTGTTTTTTCGACTCAAATGGAATTGAACATTGTGAATCCTTACCTCATGTTGAAACAGTAAACCCTGTGTTCTATCAAGTCCTTTTACAAATGTTATTAAAAGAAACCAGAGTTGTGGCTAGATAACTCATGGTTCTTGCGCCATGGCAATGCGCCCACACTCTCAGCTTTACCAATTCGTTAGTTGTGTGCCAAAATTCGGATTACTATCCTCCCTCACTCATCTTACTCGCCAGATCTGGCTCCTAGCTATTTTTGTTTATTTTCGAAATTAAAGTCGGTGCTGAAAGGACGCCGTTTTCAGACTATTGATGACAGCAAAGCAAATTCGTTACAGATTTTAAAGGCCATTTTAAATTAAGCTATCCAGGACTGCTTTCGCGAAATGGAAACGCTGTTGGGAAAAGTGCGTGAATAGGGGAGGGGAGTACTTTGAAGGAGACAAGAACCAATAATGTATAAAATAAATAATGACATATTGTTTAGTGTTAAGCTATTATAAAAGTAAGGAATGGACTGTAACTAATAGAATGGCGGCAAGAGAGAGAGAAAAAAGGAAACTATGTATAAACTTACCAAATGATGATGATGATATCACACTATTATGATAGCCAAGGGTAAAAGGATACGACAGAGTAAGGAATGGGAAGATATTGGCTACCGTGTGCACTATTTGATTGATCACTACTAAAGTAAAAAAAAAAACTACTATTGTTTACAATTAAACTGTTCTATTCCAATATTTGTACCGATTCGTTCGAATTCTATCACACGTCTCTTTTTTTGTGGGTTTTTTAAATTCAGTTTTCTTTGTAGCTACAAAACAGTACATACAGCGGTATCTATTTCTGGGAGTTTTAACTATAAATGGATTTCTATTTGTTTGAACTTATTTTAGGCCCAAACACATATAAATATAATAAAAAAAATAAAGTTCATTTTTTTCTGAACAGATAACTAAATTACAACGTTCTTATTATGGTTATTCAGTATGTTAAAAAAACAAAATCCAGAACTTATTTATAGTCCGGTCAAATTAGTCATAAAAATAGTGGTCAAATAACGAAAATTCCGACATAACTAAATTTTGGTGGAGACTTTGGGTACACCAAAAGTTCCCATCGATCCCATGTGTGCTAAAAAAGTTATTCCGAGTTAAAGGTCAAAATTTGAGGTTTTTTGGATTTTTTTCCAAAGCAGCAAGTTTTATTAAAAAAGTAGCCCAGACAAAAATTATAGACTTTAATTATCTAGAAAAATATTATCCTTATACTTTTTTTTCTAAGAATCACCATTCCTGAGATATCGCGATTCTAAAAGTTGATGAAGTCGCGTTCTACATGAAATGCACATATATGCCACGTCAGGCACTTAATACACGTAAAAATGTCTATTTGTATCTCTTGTGTGTAGAAACTATACTATTCTGAGAATATACACTCAAAAGAAACTCAGTCCCTTAGTCAAAATGACGCAGATGTCCTTATAATTGAAACAGCAATAGAATACTACTCACTGCAAGGACTCCAATTGATAAAATTATATACTTTTTAAAACCTGGAAAGGCTCAACAGCGAACAAAAATATATTCTACAAAAAGTTTATCTGCTTATCCAAAATGCCAAAATCATATCTTATTTTTACATGCGATAATCGGCTGCGATACTACATCAGCAATGTTCAGAAGGGGTAAAACATCAATATTAAAATTATTTAAAAAAAAGTATTTACAATTGATTCTTCACCTCTAACAATAATCACAAAAGGAATTCGCTTTCGCCTTGCTGTATATGGAGCTCCAAAAAAATTGATTGTATAGATAAATATAGATATTTAACTTCTGTAAAAAATACACGAAACAAGAAATAAGTACAACTATCTTATCTTCCTCCAACATCGGTTTCTGCTAATTAACACTTGTATCGAGTATACTATCAAGTTCAGACATGGCTAGGCAATCAACTGAACCCAGAAAACTGGGGTTGGAAATTAACAGATAATGCTTTGGAACCGATTCAAACTTTATTTCCACCTGCTCCAGAAAAACTCCTAAACACTATTTTTTGCGATTGCAAAAAAGGTTGTGGTGCTAAATGTGGCTGTAGAAAAGCAGGGTAGGAATTGCCAAAGCCAGTCTTGCTCAAATGTCCAATTGAATACAACAGACGAAGATTCACGTGATTTCGATGAAGAGACAGCTGATTCATCTTCATTTGAACAATTTATGAGCATCCAGCAAGAAGAGGAAGAAGAAGAAGAAGAAGAAATCGAAGAAGAGATGACTGTTGAAGTCGATTTTGAAGAGTATGAATAAGATTAAAATATCAAAAGAAATCAGAACTACAGTTAAAGTCAATAACCAATATCAATATCAATAATCATCATACAGTTAAAAGAGTATTGTCCCTGAAAATTCCGTCATAACAGTTCGTGGAGTAGGCCTACCGGGGAAACCACGTTAAAAAAACGCGCCAAAGTACACTACCTCACAGGTGGTGTGGAAATGTGTGCATATCATGTAGAACGTGACTCCTTCAACTGTTAGAATCGCAATATCTCAGGAATGGTGATTCTTAGAAAAAAAAAGTATAAGGACCATTTTTGTAGATAATTTTAAGGTCTATAATTTTTGTGGACTACTTTTTTGATATAACTTACCGTTTTCGAAAAAAAAAATCCAAAAAACCTCAAATTTTGCCCTTTGACCCCGAATAACTTTTTTAGCACACATGGGATCGATGGGGACTTTTGACACTTTAGTTCTAATGGTGTACACCATTTGGTCTCACCAAAATTTAGCTCTGTCGGAATTTTCGTTATTTGAAATGTCTATTTTGACCGGACTATTAGCTTAATTAGTATCTTTATATGTATGAATAAACATACTCAAATATAAGTAGTTCGTTATTTGCTTTACTATAATAAAGATTTAAATAAAATATACCGAAACAGCACTCACCGTTTATTAATGTATTACCCATTTCCAACAGTTACCTTCTTTGTACTACGACCCTATTTTGAATCGTACAATATCAATAATAATACCTAATTAAATGTACTGGCTAGAAAACCAATAGTAAGTATTTTACAATACATATACTCAAAGCCGTCCCTGTACCATATGGACAACCGCGACCCAGAATGCAACAGCCTTGGTGGAATACACAAACAAGTAGGTAATACGGTACAGTACGACATAATGATATGCAGGTAAATTACCTTAAAACGAAGATTACCAAGTGGTGGTTTGGCGTAAGGTATTCCCTGGAAACTGTAGAAATGATTGCCCTCAAAGTCAGTCGAAATTTTTCCTCTCACTTTTCCTTCTCGCACATTTACAACACAATCACTCATTTCGTAAATACGTTGAAAACGCCTTGAAATCTCACCTAAATCAACTCGTATTGTAGCGGAATGATTGCAAGTTCATGTTTGTGTGTCGTTGTGTTGACCTTTGTATTACGGTACTTCCATTAATATGACATTTACATCTACGATATAGATAAGATAATACTTTATTCTTACTGGATTATAATAATTTTAATTGTAGAACAATATGTTTATATTCAAGCCTATTTGCCATAAGAGTTATTGATTGGTGATCACAATGTATACAGTGTTGGCTTAGGTGAATTTTACAGTTTTAGGCGTTTTTGTAAACTATCTATACAAGGTGTTAATGAAATAAGTAATCAAAATTTGAGTGTGTAAAACATGTCGAAATATGTTGAAAACATTAATAGAGTATTTGTCAGCCCTTAAGGGAGATACGGCTCCTTGTAAGGGTAACCCAGGAAACAGTTTTTATTGCATAATTTCGAAACGGTTTAATATTAAATCACGAAATTTTGGGGTTGTATTACTATTTGTATGCTTAGTAATCGGTATAATATGAGCCGTTTTCTAATAAAATCCATTTCAATAATTCATTACGTGCTCAATAATTTCTGCTGCAAACATATGAGTTAAGTATATGTCAATTACTGATTAGATTACTTACTCAAAATTCCAATTTGAGAAATTCGAATAGGATAGGTGATCCGCGCGGATTCCTCTGTGTCTGAACTAATAGAATAATTTATTACAATACATAAATTAAAATTTCTCTCTTAAGTGTCACAAATGGTAATTTTTTCACGGCACAATTTGATACATTTATTTCGCAGCAGGAATTTTTAAGCACGTAATGAATTATTGAAATGGATTTTACTAGAAGACGGCTAGTAAATCCAACAAGAGTACCTTTTTTTTGTAAAATATGATACATTTTCATATTTTCGGTTCAAAAACTAGAAAAAATTGCGTACGCAAAAAAAATTATAAAATTTGCCCCATGGCCTCTCATTCTCTTACGCCCCTGTAGCAAATTTTGATTTGTATGTTATACCGATTATTAAGCATACAAATAGTATACAACCCCAAAATTTCGTAATTTAATATTAAACCGTTTTGAAGTTATGTAATAAAAACTGTTTCCTGAGTTACCCTTTCAAGGGGCCGCATCTCCCTTAGGGGCTGCCACTGACAAAAACGCAACTAAGGTTTTCATCATATTTTGACATGATTTAAACACTCTCAAATTTTGAGTTTACTTATTTTGTTAATATTTTGTATAGTTAGGACGTGTACACTGAAATTTATTGTGTGTATTTATTTAGACTAAATAAAAATTGTTTGCCAGGAACTGATGCTAGTTTTGGATATTGTATTGGATATGTATGACTCGAAAAGTAATATAACTAATAATAAGTACATAGTTTTGTAATAAGTCTCATTTGAATGTTAACTAATTTCTGCTATATTATTATATTTTCCTCTTTTTATTATTAATCTACATATTTTAAGTTGTAGATGACACAATTTTATTAGAAATATATCTTAGTTTAATGTAAATTAACACTTTACAAATTAAAAATAGGTTACTTTAATATTAATAAATCAATGGCATCTAAAATTGTTTACAATTGAATTTGAGAAGGTACATACTGCTGAATTTAACAATAGGGACCCACATACCTACAATACATGTGGAAAAAAGTTTATTTTTAATAAAAATTATTTGTCAATACTTTGTATTTTCGCAACATTTTTAGTAGCTTTAAACGACATATTTATTTGCTTATTATCTAAACAAATATATCGTTCAAAACTACTTATAAATAACCAAGACACAAGACCCTGAACTTTTCCATAGTTCCTTCATCCATTTTTATTTAAATGGAATACATCACTCTGTAACTATACGCATATAAAGAAACAACACAACAACAATGATTATAAGCTACCCTGATACAAGGGGAACTGGCAGGTATAACCAGAAATTGCTGCTAAAGAAATTGCCCGCAGCCAGATAACGGGCAAAAATATTATAATCTACTCGTATACACAGTGGGACGAAATAAACAGCTGTCGATTAGCTAAGGAGTTCTAAGGATATCCCAGCAAAGACACAGCCAAAAAGTATCTGATTATGTCCACTAGGGTAAGCCTTCGCCCGTATTTAAACGGGACACTGTTAGCTAAAGAAACACCTCTGTAATATGAGGAAGTGCGAAACACCTATCTGTAGAGATTGTGAGCAGGAAGACGAGACAGTTTTCCATGTACCTACTCTACGAGTCCACTGGTGTCTCGTCTACGAGAAAATCCGTGGTAGAAAAACTGTGGTCTACATCAGAGAAATCCCCCTGAGTAACGTCATCACCTTTTTCTCCTTGACAGGTTGGTTGGCGGCTCAGGAGAGCTGATCTCTCGCTGGGAGGATGCACAAGGGCCTCAATGGAGCACGACTGGTACTGTCAACTAAAAATCCCTAAATCTCAGCGTCACCAATATTAATGAGTCGTTTACAGTGAATAATGACAAATCGTTACGTCTACGCTCGTGATAATGCGATCAGTCATTGGTTGAATAAAATCTCTTTAATCACTAGTTGGTGAAACAGCATGTTGTGTTTTAATACAGACTTTAGTAATTTTTATTTTTACCGAAATTTAATTATCAACGTGAAGGAAATAAAATTAATAGTTACGTGGCTTGTCAGTTTTGCACGCGTTTTTGTGACACATGATTACCTTCAGCTTAATCATGAAGTGTGTCAATGCCCTGTCCCTATTAAGGCGGGAAAGTCGTATGAACCTGATCTGCATTTCCGGTCACAGTAATATGACTTCAATAAAAGAGCCGATGTTCAATTAGTCAATTCATGTGGCATGAACCAATACTCGGGTTACCACAATGTTATGAAAAATAATCTATTGATAATTGGATCATTAAAGATCATTCGAAGAATGGTCAGTGGATCTGGTTTGGGACAGGTTAGGCTTCTAGAGAGCCTATCGGCTAAAGCAAATCGGAAAATGAGTTTGCTCAGTGAAAGCGGTATTAGGATTCTCACAGGACTTCTAAAGAGTCAGGGACATGTAAAGAAGTGGGAAGCAAGTTATTCGGATATGATATATATATATATATATACGCAAATTGCCTACATGTCCTGTGTTATTATGTTCACTTATTGTCCCTTTGCAGGAAACACGGTCCTATTACCAAATAACTCTTATTGTAAGTTAAAAAGCAGATATGGAAATAAATATATTTCTTATTATAGTTTTATTATTATTCTCCAGATACATTAACATTATAATCTAAAATATGATATCGACAATTTTCCAATTTATATTATACTGTCCACAATAAGACATTTCTAATATAAGTTAAGATATTCTATATATCTGCCTATACAAGTAATCTAAAATATAAGAAAAAAATCATGTAAGCATATACGAATAACTGATAATACTGCGGGAAAAACCCACTCTGCGGAGTAATGTCAAGCAACATTGAAATATAACCGCTGATGCTCTTATGCTTCAAGTTTGATGAATTATTATTTTTTATTCACCATCAACGTTGTACTGACGATAATTTTATTTATTTTTTTTATAAGAAAGAAACAAACAGGTTATAGAAACCTAATTCCATGTTTCTAATTATTATAAACTAACTGTACAATAATAAAGATATTAGGGAGTACTTAGTCAGAACCAAACGGGGAATATCTCTCAAGAAAAATCCGTATTAGAAATGTTTTTCCGAAACTTGATCAATAAAGCATCAAATATGCCTATTGATATTCTATCGTGATATTTATTAACAATTTCACATATACTGTTAATCAGTGTTTTAGTATTTGTATTAAATATTATTTTCGTGGGGCGTATCAGGTACATTTATGTTTATTTGTGAGAGCAGATAGGGAGTGTCGAGGCTTCCATTTAAGATTTTATGTAAAAACACTAAATTTCGCCTAATTCTCCTATGTTCTAATTTACTGATTTTAAATTGTATACGATAAGGCTCATAAGATGTAAATCCAGGAGTAGTAAAAAATTTTTTGTAATATAAGTACTTTATGAATTTATTTTGTATTGTTTCAATTGTATGGCTGAGACATTGTTTTGAAGGTGTCCAAATTATCGACCCATATTCCAGGCGGCTGCGAATAAGTGTATTAAATAAATATATAATAGAGTTAACGTTTTCGAATTCACCAGTTACCCTTTTAATGAGGCCCAATAACCTATATGAGGCATTAGTAATTTCATTTATATGTTTTCTAAAATTTAAATTAGATTCAAAGTATATTCCTAAATCTTTGGTTGAATATATTCTGCTAAGAGTATTACGGTTCATTGAATAAGTATGGTGCTTTACAATTTTATTTCTATTGAAAGTCATTACTTTGCATTTATCTAAATTAAAATGTAGTTTATTCTTTATAGACCAGTCATGTATCCTATCTATATCATGTTGTAATACTGAAAAATCGTTCTCATTTTCAATTTGTTTATATATCTTTAGATCGTCAGCATACATAAGACATTCTGAGGAAATGATATTTGGTAAGTCATTTATGAATATTAAGAAAAGTAATAGACCCAAATTGGAACCTTGAGGTACACCAGACCGAACCGAGAATATGTGTGAATCAGTACCTTTATAACAAAAGAATTGTTTTCTATCCTTTAAATATGATGAGAATAATTTTATCATATGTTCACTTAAACCGACTGAGTATAATTTAGACAATAATATATCATGATTTACACGATCAAAGGCTTTGGCAAAGTCTGTGTATATGGTGTCAACTTGTTGTCCTTCCTCAAAAGCCAGATTAATTCTATTAACAAAAGAAGCCAAGTTTGTCTCTATTGATCTGCATCGAAAAAAGCCATGCTGTTCTGGAGAAATAATATTTTTAACGAAGCCATATATTTTTTCATAAAGTATAAATTCAAAAATTTTCGCAGTACAATTTAAAATCGTTATAGGCCTATAATTAGTGACCAAATGCTTATCATCTTTTTTATGTATTGGAGTTACTCTAGCTATTTTAAAAACCCTTGGAAATGTACCATAATGTAAGACCTTTTGATAGATTATTAATAATGGATATAATAGGAGCTCTCTACAAGCCTTAAATATATAGCAGGGTATACCATCTGGTCCAGATGATTTTTTGGGTTTTAATTTTTTAAAGGCATTTTCTAAATCCTTCACACCAACATGAACATCGTTCAAGTGACTTAAATTAATAGTTGAATTATCTAAATTATTCTTTGCTAACGTGATGTCATACGATGCATCATTAAGATCATAAACTGAATAGAAATAATTAGCGAAAGCATCAGAAATACTTTTTTTATCAGATGTGTATTCATCTTCAATGAGAAATTGACTCGAGCTATTCCTATTTTTCTTTTTTCCATTTATAAAATTCCAGAAGATGTTGGAATCCTTAGTTAAATTATCTTCTACGCCTTTAATATATTGAGCATAAGCCTGTTTGACTAGCGACTTAACTCTTTTTCTTAAATCTTTATAGGATTTGAGGAAACAATCAGATTTGTGTTTTCTTCTCCTAAAGTATTCTTTATCCTTTAAACATGATTTAATTTCTTCTGTGAACCAGGATGGGTAGTTTTTTTTTTTGATTTATTAGTACAAATTTTATATTTAGGAACACACATATCTAGAATCTCATACAACTTCAAATAGAAATAATTTACAGTATCATTTACGTCGTCAATATTATTTAATATGTTTCAATTACAATTGTTAAGTAACTCATACAGTTGTGCAAAATTAGCATGTTTAAAGTTATATTTATTTTCCAAACCTTTAAAATCGTTTACGAAATGCTTAAACTTGTCTACATTAATTTTAATTAAGAGGGCAGGATGTTTACGATCTATATCCACAGTAACAACGCATGGCCAATACTAAATCTAGTGTTCTTAAATTTTCATTAAGGCAGTTATTATAAGATTTTAAGAGTTATACAAATTCAATAACTCAGCCATACAATTTACAGATTTGCCATTATTGCGAAATATAAATTGTGTGCCATTAATACAATATTATGACAATTAATAATCATCAGCAAGTGAAATTAATTAGAATTAATTAATTTTTCTTATGAGAAATATTCACAATATTATAAATATAAGTTTTAAGTGAATGAAAATTTAAATATAGGTACAATACATTTTACTGCATAAGAATAGAATTTTGTCAAGTTAAATGCAAAAAATATTTTCATTATTATAGTTTAGCTTTAGCTACAGATGTTTCGTTGTACAGATTATTCCAGAAATACATTGCTTTTTTTTCGGGATCAGTTTTCATTACCAATTCTTCTCCTATATCTAGGTAATTAAATCGACTAGATTCGAGCGGTTTCCAGCTTGTAGAAAGCAAATTGTTCTGTTCATTTGGCGTAGGATTACCATATTTAACAAAATTAGTCCAGAGTTTGATCATCCTTTTAATTCCAACATATTCAGGGCTTTTAGGCTCAATATCCTCAGGCGTTAATCCGTTTTTAAAAAGATAGGACAGCTCATCACTATGGCAAGCACCTAATAATTAAGAATAATTTACATACTTATTATAACTGATAATTAAAAAAATCTGTTTTTCAGTAGTAGAATATAATTAGTTTAAAATAGTGAAGATATAATATATTTTATGAGCAACTGGGTATTCAAGTGTATCTTATAAAAAAATGTTTAGTGTCAATTGCAACTTTTATCACATGCACCCAAGAGCTATAAACTGACATTATATATTTTTTAATTATCTACTAGGGTAGGTAACAACCCAACTTAGATAATTACATTTTTTCGAATCAAACCGAGAAATATTCTATACACCGTGTCCACCTATTGCGCGTAAGTCCAATATCTAGGTTAATAAAAGATATAACTTAATTTTTTTTCTACAGAGTTGCCTATTTTCCCGAGCTGCACAAAATGAAAATATATTTGCATATACAGGGTGTTCAGTTTTTCCTGGGCAGGTGCCAACTTAATTTTTTTAAACGGAAACCTATATTTTTTATGGCGTTATCGAATTCTACGTGAAAAATTAACGGGAATTTGTGTTATGACCCCTATTAAAATATTGATAGTTTTCGAGATAATCGACTTTTCATTTTTTTTTCTTATGTTTCGTCACTTCTAGTAGTTGACATAATTATGATTGTATGACAGCTAGAAATTATTTTTTTTTTCAGGAACTGTAGAGTGAAGATGGCTCTTTCAAAAAACGTATCAAAAGTTGACCTGCGATATACAGGGGGCAAAAAAAATCGTGCCAAACCTGATAATTTAAAATTTGAAAAATCTCGACTTTTTCAAATAGAACACCCTGTGTTTTATGATTTCATTAGATGCCTTTCTGTAGACCCTACAATTTTTTAATAGCTTTCCCTATACCTAAGTTGCGTAGTTTTTGCAAAAAAAAACATTTTTATGTAAAATACCGGATTTGCGCCCGTTCCTTTGTCGGGAAAAATATTGTAAGGGTATTTATTTTTATTAAATTTATTAGTTGTCTAGCTACACTATTTAAAATAAAAATTAATAACTGAAAAATTTAGATATTTGAGTTTAATAAATAAGTCTTTATGGAAAGTTACCATTTATTTGTAAATAAAATCAAAAAACCATAAAATCGCTACAAGTGATTAAGAATTAGCAAAATATGGGAAATGTTTGCTAGCAGCACGTATTTACAAAGCAAATAATCCAAATTTACAGAGATTCCCACTGTTTTGAAAATGTGAAGGAAAGGTTTGAATGAACAGCAAATGCGAATTATGAGAAAACTACCAGGAGACATGAAAGTAACAACGATAATATTTAGTTTAAAGTTGTGGCGTCTGCTGTTGAAAATCCAAATATTAGTGCCAGGAAATTAGTAGTAACCTTGGAGTTTTCAAAAGCTTGACAAATAAAATATTGAAGAAGTTTCATCCGTATCATATTGAAAATCAAGCACTGTTACCGTAGTTAGGAAAGTTATTAGTGAAATTGGAGATTAAAAAATTTGGATGAATAGAATTTTGAAAAAAGAATACTCATAGTCGCAAGCTAACTTAAAATAAATACCCTTACAATATTTTTCCCGACAAAGGAACGGGCGCAAATCCGGTATTTTACATAAAAATGTTTTTTTTGCAAAAACTACGCAACTTAGGTATAGGGAAAGCTATTAAAAAATTGTAAGGTCTACAGAAAAGCATCTAATGAAATCATAAAACACGGGGTATTCTATTTGAAAAATAGTAAAGTCGATTATCTCGAAAACTATCAATATTTTAATAGGGATCATAATACAAAGTCCCGTTAATTTTTCACGTAGAATTCGATAATGCCATAAAAAATATAGGTTTCCATTTAAAAAAATTAAGTTGGTACTTGCCCAGGAAAAACTGAACACCCTGTATATGCAAACATATTTTCATTTTGTGCAGCTCGGGAAAGTAGGCAACTCTGTAGAAAAAAAATTATATCTTTTATTAACCTGGATATTGGACTTATGCGCAATAGGTGGACACGGTGTATAATATTTATTAATCTTCAAAATTACATTAGGTTTATTATAGACTCTTCAATTTACACATGTTCATAAATATGTTATTGTTATTATTGCTTTTATTACTAAGAATATCATTTAAAATTACCTGGTTCCGTTACAGAATAAAAACGTTTCATGGAGTTCAGTGTAGTATCTAAGGAGAATTTATAAAAGTATATAGGGCTATTTCCTGTTTCAGAAAGATATCTTGCTGAGTTGTACATGTCCAATAAAAAAAAGTTATCTGTATAAAGCTAAAAATACAAATAATTACTAATTTTCAAGTCCAAAAAATGAATACTATACAGTTCTATAGTTAAGATGTATGTCAAAAATATACATGGCATTGCAATTTGCTCCGACATAACTCTATAGGCGATTCTTTGAATAGAAACAAAACAAGATCATTTGAAAAGTCCGCAGATGCTTCGTTTTTAAGACAGAGTGATATTATTCTTATTAGTTATTTTCTCACTTGTTTTTTAATTTTTGATAAATGTAATATTAATTTGGAAATTAGTTTAACTGTTTATTTAGGTTAATAGTAGATAGTAGGTATTAAAATACACTGTGTGAGAGAGAAATTTTATAGTGAGACCCAGCCTTAGTTGCTTCATACGACGAGTCGCCAACGAAATACATGGGATTTATCATTACCAGAATAACCCATTTTAATTTTAAAAAAATAATAAAATAGGCTATCCCGATAATGAAAAATAAAACATAATTAAACTGTATTATTCAAATAACAATAATGTGCAAGAGTTCGGCGGGAATATCGGCAAATTTATTTTGGAGGAAGAATCTCGTCAACAAACACTGTAAAAAAATATTATTAGAAATCTTAGGTGGCCAGATTACAGCCCCGATCCCTTAGACATATTTTTGTGGGGACACTTCAACAAAATATATTATTAAAGACCTTAAAATTTACAAGGATTGAGAGAAAAAATACAGGACGAAAAGTTTGATAATCCTGAATTTATTTTTAACCCAATAAATATAATCTAAAAAATATTTTCAACTGTATCATTCACAATTACGGGCATGTGGAAAATTTGTTAAAATTGGTAGGTATTTTAATGTTATTTCGATTTTAGGTATTCTTATGTTGTTGTAAAAGTTAGTTATAAAAATAGTTATTTGTTATTTCAATAAGGATGTATTTAAATTTTCTTAACGATTTTTTACTTTAAACGTATATTTTATGCCAGCAAATTTTGATAATATCGAAAAAAGTAAAGGAAAAATGCTACATTTATATTTAAAGTTTTTTTCTATCTTTAATGATTAAAGCTGTAAGTGAGTATCAAAATACAAACCCTGTACTTAGATTCCGCGACGTACTAATAACCCATCTTGTATATTAAATAAATTTATAAAAATTATGTCATCATCAAATACATATTAAAAAATATATATGTTACTAACTACTTAATGCAGTATTTCAATACCAAAAAATGAAAATAGTAGCTAATTAACGAAATTATGATTAAATAACCTAACTGTAACGCCCCTGCAGAATGTGAGATCATCTTAAGTTGACTAATATGTATTCGTTCATTCTTTAAAACATTATAATCAATACCTACATCATACATTTAAGTACGTAAATACAGTAACACAAAAAATAGGTATTGATAAAAAAGGGTACAAAGTAAATCCGTGCGTACGCGTGACAACATTACCAAACTGTAGTTTTTGCGTTGCTAGGATACGCATATGTATTACATAGGAATGCCGGCCGCTGAATTTGAATCTACCTAAAATTCTGATGGTGGTGTACTCTACTGGCATTTTTGAAATTTACAACTGCTGACCTATTCCAGGCACTGTCTGGAGCGATAGCTATTTTATCTGTGTTAAAACTGTAGTATTATATCTTACTTAAGTAATTGCGCACATTTGTGTCACGGTGGAAAGACGATATCACTTCAAAAAAATTTCAGATCTTATTAATGGTTATTTATTGTATAAATGATTTAAGTAGCATTTTATCACCGCAGGAATGTTTAAACACGAGAACGTAGTTCGAACGTTTAATATTCTTAAGTGGATAAAAGGCAATTAAAACACGAATGCAATACAGTTTTATCCATAATCACATCACAATCATATTTATGGAGTCAGAATTATTGGAATTTAATAAAAAAAATATTCGCACGACTTGATATTACTTAGGTACTAGTACTCAATGAATCGTGGTAGGTTTTGTTATACCTATTGGTTGCTATTATATGTTACTTTATTCCACTTTTGAATAAAGTATCACTTTAGACGGTTCATATGTGTGGATAAAAGTCCGATTATAAGGTGATTGTAGATAAAATGATTAAAATGGTGCAGTATTGGAAACTATTTTTTTTCAAATTAGGAATTTTGAAAATGACCTTTTTATATAAATTAAACTTAAAATTTAACAATTTTTTTCCAGTGGTTAAAAAAAAAACACTAAAAATATGATCAGCGGCCTGAAAAGAATGTGTAAAATAAACGAAGCATTTGTGTTCATATAAAATTTTGTTAATGCAACACCCTGTACAGTGAATATGTATTTCATACCTACCCTGTATATATCATCTTTATTTTCTAATGGATTTCTGTCATTGAAATAGAATTTTTTAATACTATTGACTGTTGAATTATACTGATCACTCCCTATCCTCAGATTCACAGAATAAGGTACAATTGTTTCGTCATTCAACAAAGTGCCTTTAGTACACATTGCATACACAAATATTCCTTCTCTCGAACAGTATCCCATTATTAAAGGTACTTTATGGTACCTGCCAGATTTTATTAAGTCAATTGGTTCTTCACTTAGAAAAGATTTCGCGGATTTTCTCTCCACAATTGGTCCAAAAGGTCTAACTTTTCCTACATAAAACGGCTGAAAATGAGATTATATTTACAATGTTAGTTGTAAATAAAAACATTACAAAATTAGCACATGAAAGGTATTGCTGTACAATATTTATTAAGATAGAATTAAAAAAAAATAATAAGTCAATAAAGTTCTATTATCGGAACTACTGTAACAATTTACAGCGAATGATGAAAATCGTTTCAAAAACTTGTTTTTTAAAAAAACTTCATTTCTTAAAGATCTACAAGATATGAGTTGAAGACATGAAAAGTTTAACAGAACTGAGCTGTATCATGTTAATACCTATATATTTATAGCTTCGCATTAATTTGATTGTCTCTGCACTTTTTCACTACATTATTCGCGGCAGAGGCGTCCTTGACATTTTCCGCGTTTTAAAATAACACAGGCCCACAAAAAAACCTGTGCATCGGACTAGTCCTTATGTCGAATTCGAAGTCGAGGTCCGTTTGACCTTGTCAGGTCAGGTTAAAGGTCATTTCAAGGTCAAACCGAGAAAAATCCTATATAGTGGAGGCAACCAGGTTATTATATGCTTTTGGGGTCGCTAAGTCCGAATCCGAGGTTCGTTTGACCTTGTCAGGTCAGGTTAAAGGTCATTTCAAGGTTAAATAGAGAAGCGAATCATTCTGCATACCATCTTTCGGAGCACTTGTCATCGTTTCTAGTATCCTTCATGGTAGCAGGATTGTAAAGGCTCTATTAGAACCATCATAGAAATGAGGCTTTCATTTAAGTATATGATAGATGATTTTAATGATGATTCAAAGGACCCCGCACTTTTTATATGGAAAAGTGGTTTCAGTCGGGAGGTCTAATTTTTGGTGGACAAGGTAGTTCGCAACATCCTGAACAAAAAAGCTAATGGGCACAAAAAAATCTACCGTCAGGATTTTGCGCTATGGCGCATACAAGGTCGGCACCTGGGTTTTCAGGAGTCGGGTTATTTTTATCAAAAAAGAGCGTGTTCAGTGACCAATTTTGGAGACATGCATGCGTGGAGGTGTGTTGGAGTGAAAAAGTACTATATATCCCCATTTTCTGTGTTCAAAACGAGATTCAAAAAGGAAAGAAAAGGGTGACTGCCTTTTTCCGTACCCACGCATACAATACTACTAGATCGCATCCGCGATGCCAGAGCAAATGCCAATAATCACGTTGAAATCGAAGTAGTTGAGATGGAATAGTTTGTGGAACATCAGTGGAGTATAGAGCTATTGGCGAAGAACCACTATAAAAAAGCTAATGCGCCTCATTCGGAACTTCATTAGGTGGTATGGAAGACCGGAATCCTCATTTTTGAAT